GTTTAGTGTTTAGGGTTTAGGGCAACACCCTGAACTCGAAAGACTTAGGCATTAACGCTTCGAGCAATTTCCGAGCTGAACAGCGAAGTTCCCCCAATCGGAGCCAAGAGACGTTGCACAACTAAAATTTTTTAGGGTTAAGGGGGGAAAATGGCGAGAAAGTGTACCACTTCAATCGCGAAACCGGTTTCCCAGGCCAAACGCCCAAAACGATGCATCAAGCTTCCCAAACTCCACCCGTTCGGATTTTTAAAGCCCAATATACATAATATGGGCAGTTCTCGAAATTAGGGTCCCTTTGAGGGTTTGTTTTTATAAGGCTGCCGTATTATCTTGGGGACCGAAACAGGGACCCTAGTTTCGAGAACTACCCATGTAGTAACCCCCAGACCCTCGTCTAGTTCTCGCGGCTCCTGTTAAAGAGTCTTGCTTGGAGGGTCGGGGGACTTAGTAAGTAGTTATGTTATAGACGTATAAGTATCATAACCCCAATTAGGGTCTCTTTAAAGGGTACTTATCAGTCTACTTCTTACCCACTTACTAAGTCCCCCGACCCTCCATGTGCTGTTCTGCCTCAGATCTGGGGCCCAGAGCTGTTTAGGGTTTAGGGTTTAGGGTTTAGGGTTTAGGGTTTAGGGTTTAGGGTTTAGGGTTTAGGGTTTTGACGGATCGGATAGGGCTCGGGAACATGGTCATGGTATTTGTTCAGGGATCTGTTCTGCCAAAAGCTCTGTTCCAATTTTTCAGACCCCCACCCTAAATCCTAAACCCTAAACCCCTCTTGCTGTATTCTGCGCAGCGGTTCATTCCCAGCTGGTCAGTGGCCTGAATGACCCTCAGAAAGCCTTCACAGAACTGTATGTGTGCATGTATGTATGTATGTATGTATGTATGTATGTATGTATGTATGTATGTATGTCTGTATGTATGTACATATATATATATATATAAATACACACACACACACCCCTACATGCCCTTCTCGTCATGATGTATTCTTACTCAAATGTTCACCGAAACTCCACTCTGACTGTTGAGACCCCTACCTTAATAATCAATCCCCTGAAACCGCACTGGACCCTAAACCCTAAACCCCACACTCCAAGACCCAGCAAGAATCCCGAATCTCTGAAGCCCTCAATCAGAAAGCCTGAGGCCCTAAGCACAAAACCCGAAGCGCCGAACCCCGATGCCAGAGACCTCAACCCCTAACCCTAAACCCTAAACCCTAAACCCTAAACCCTAAACCCTAAACCCTAAACCCTCCCCCTTCAAGAAGCCGAGCCCGAAGCCCCACTTGAGCTTGCTTGGAGGGTCCGGGGACTTGGTAAGTAGTTTTTTTATAGACTTATATTTAGGGTTTAGGGTTTAGGGTTTAGGGGTTTAGGGGTTTAGGGTTTAGGGGTTTAGGGTTTAGGGTTTAGGGTTTAGGGTTTAGGGTTTACTGTAAGTATCGGAACCCCAATTACGGATCCCCTTTAGGGTACTTACAAGTCTACTTATTACCTACTTACCGAGTCCCCCGACCCGCCAAGTAGTAACACGTCTGATAAGAGAAGCCGTTGCAGAACCCTAATAGCGAGCCCTTGAAGAATCCTGAAGGGAAGGGCCATATAAACCATCCTAAACCCTACACCCTAAAGCCCTGCACCCCACAAGATGCCGAAAAGCTTAAACTCGAAGCCCGAAACTCCAAACCCGCAGGAGGAGGCTGGCGTCACAGGAGTGGTGCGAGCGGTGTGGGCCAAGGCTTCCAAGAAGAGAAGAAGTTCAGGGTTTAGGGTTCAGTTTAGGGTCTAGGGTTTAGGGTTTTGGGTTTAGGAGGAAGTCAGGTGTTTGCGTTTTAGGGCTTACGTGGACCCTAAAAGTAATATAGAGGCCTAGAAAGTTACCTATAGTATTTAGGGAACCCTAAACCCTAAACCCTAAACCTTAAACCCTAAACCCTATTCCTTATCATAGTTCTGGTACCTGAGAGCTTCATGTAGGGGCCTTGCTAATTGATTAGAATAGGGTTTTGGGGGTTTCTTATTTTATTTATAGTATAGTATTCCCCCCAAACCCGATTCTGACAGGATATACCCCAAAACCCTATTGTAATTATTAAGGCCCCTCCAGCGCTTGGAATAATGGCCTTTTAAAAGTGTTGGGCCATTATTTTACCCACTTTGGGGGTTCAGGTAGGGTCGACGGTTTACGGTCTGAGGTCGAGGGTATAGGGTTGGATTTTGGGTTTAGGTTTTGGGTTTTGGTTTTGGGTTTATGAATTTGGGTTTTGGGTTTAGGGGTTAGGGTTTGGGGGTTAGGGTGTAGGATTCAGGGTTTGGCGGTGTTTGTTGTCTGTTGTTCAGGGTTTGGGGGGAGCCGGTTGGTTTTCGTGCCTGTAAGCTCGAGATCCTAGGCCTAAACGACCAAGGGGTCCGGTGCCTATGGTCGGATGGAGAGCGTACTGATACCCTAAACTAAACCCTAAATGCTAGACCCGAAACCCTAAACTCTAAACTCTAAACCGAAAACAATGATAGAAAACTTTAGTCTGGGGCACACACACACATATATATATATATGTATACATATTGACATCTTTCCTCATACAGACCTGTAACAGCCAAGATGGGGCTGCAAAGTTTACGGATTGAGTCATGACAGTTCTTCGAACTGATCATAGTAAGGGGTTTTGTGTTTACGCTCGGGGCTTTAGGGTCAGACTCGGACAAGAGTTTGCAACCTGAAGGCTCCAAGAAGACAGAAGTCTCCCTGTAGCCCTACACAACCTGCTTGGGTTTAGGGTTTAGGGTTTAGGGTTTTAGAGTTTAGGGTTTAGGGTTTAGGGTTTAGAGTTTCAGAAGCAGAAGCCAGGATCAGGAGCACAAACGTGCCTTGGCGCTAAACTGCAGGATTCAAACCCTGAGCTTTAAGCCGCTGATCAACTACTTGGAGGGTCGGGGGACTTAGTACGTAGATACTACGTAGACTTATAGGTACCATAACCCCAATTAGAGTCCCTTTTAGGATACTTATAAGTCTGCTTATTACCTACTTCTTAAGTCCCCCGACCCTCCAAGTAGGCCTTCGAAGTTCTTGGACCCCCAAGTCCCTGATACACTCTAAACTCTAAACCCTAAAGCGCTAAGCCCCGAAACCTTGCCCTAAACTACCTATAGTCTGCATTGCAGTTCCCCCCAAAAACTTTCACTCTCCTTATCATTAAAACGGTTAAACCAAAACATGGTTTAGGGTTTAGGGTTTACGGCAAGTTTAGGGTTTAGGGTTTAGGATTTAGGGTTTAGGGTGTTAAACCAAAAAACGGAACTCCAGTGGAGACTTTTGGATATGCCCTAATTCCTTACGGCCCAAACCTGGGCACAGGTCCTGAGCCTGTCCCTGGACATGGTCGATCCCGAGGATCCCTGGCAGACGTGTTCTAGGTTTGGGATTTAGGGCCTAGGGTTTAGGGTTTTGGGCTTAGGCTGTAGGGTTTAGGGCCGAGGATCTAGGGTTTTAGGGTTTTGGGTTTTAGGGTTTTGGGTTTTAGGGTTTTAGGGTTTTGGGTTTTAGGGTTTTTGGTTTGTACGGTTTTGGGTTTTAGGGTTTTAGGGTTTTGGGTGTGAGGGTTTAGGGTTCAGAG